AGTAGCACCAGCCTCCCACCTTCCCAGTGACTGGCATAATTTGAGGTGCCTGGTGCTTTCTCTTCCTCCTGCTTCTCCTTGCCCTTGCTACTTCCCATCTCTTTGATCTCTTTCCTAAGCAGTATGCTTGCCCTGGTCTCAGATGTGTGGGAGGTGGGATGCTTCAAGAGCATCTCTCTGGGATCACGGCCCTGCACCCTGGGAGGTGTTCATGTCCCTTGGTGCATCACGCGGTTTTGAGAAGGGCAGTCACCCACAGGGGTGCAGCCTGTGGCTCTGCAGACAAGGCATGCCCTGGGAGTTGCTTATCAAAGGCAGTGTTGCTGACCATTTCCTTTGGGCATGTGGGGAAGAGACCAGAGTGACACAAATGGGGAAGGTTTGTAAACCTGAAGTGGACACTGGCTCGGGTACTTGTGCTGCTGTGCTTATGCTGTGGGTTTTGGCATCAGCTCACTTACGCATGCATGTTTCTTCAAACAAGTATGAGTAATGGTTGCTGTGTTGTATGAAGGTTGCTGGTGCATTACTTGGGTTCAGAGGCTCCAGTTCACCATGGAGCAATGAAGAGGAGGTTCAGGCTGAACAGGATGAAAAGAGGAGCCCATGGCTAGTGGCCCCATCACCATAGCAGACCAGCTTAAGGTGCACAAGGGATGGCTCCAGTGCAAGTAATTAAAGCTCCAGGCTGGAAATTACACATTCCCAGGGTCAAGGGCTGGCAATGAGCACTGCTGCAGGTAGTGTAATGCCACAGAGCCAGCTCAGGCTGTCGTGCCTGTTTTTAGAAAGACATGTGCCTGAGCTGGAAGAGCAGGTGAGCAAAACTGTCCTCAGGCAGAGCCTCTCTGCACCTTCTCCACTGCCTTCTCTGGCTTGCAGGAATCAGTCCTGGCCTCCTTTGTGCTGCTGGAGCTGTTTGTACAGGAGATCAGGAGGGGTGCTTACAGGTCAGGGCAAAACAGCAAGCATGTCCATGCAGCATCTCTTCTTCATGCCTGAGCCACAGATGTCAAAAAAATTTGAGACCTGAAACTTATTGAGATCTAGTTGAGATCTAAACTTATTTTGCAAGCTGCTTCATGGTAAGGATGACTGCCTCTGCAGCCTTCAGTGACTGTGCTGACTTAATTCCAGGCTTGAGATTTTCCCATCTTCAACTTCTCACCTTTGGCTTTTGCATTTCCTTCTGCCTATACCAGTACTCTGTACCCTCTGGCCGTGAGGAGACCCTCTCCCGGGGCAGTGAAATAGCTTGTACTCCTCACATCAGCCTTATTTGTCACATTTCCAACCCTTAGCTCCTTTCTTGTGGTGGTATTGCTGCTCCTTGGGATTACTGTGCCTGAAGTTTGGATAGCTGGATTGGACATCAAGTTGGCTTTGCCAGAGCTGTACCTCTCCTTGGAAATCCCCTCCATGCCCCTCTGACTCATGGCTCTCAGAGCCAAGGTACTGTGTTGCAGGTTCATGGTAACAGTCATGTGTAGGGGCAACTCTTTGGCAGCTTTTTTCCTTGATTTCACTTTCCACCCCCACTTTCAGGGGGATTCTCCACCCTGCAGTACAGCCTGTCTTCTCCATTCCCAAGAACCTTCCTTTGCAGCCCATCATTGTGCTGGGGGCTGTTATAATTTTCCCAAGCCATTCAGCTCATGCTGCAGCAGCAAGCAGCATTCAGTGTTTAATCAGACCCAAATGTAAGCCTTCATCTTGTCATCCAGATTGTTGATATTAAGAGCTATTAAATGTCACTGGACCAGGGTCATTGGGGATCTAGGTAGCCTTCCTGTTGTTGATGTCTTCCCATTAAGTCTTGGCTCACTGAACAAGATCTCAGAATGTAGTTGTAAATATGTGTAGTTGTTAATCTACTTGAGTCTTATTAATTCTTTATATTACATACTTTTAATTAAAATCCTGCAGCATTATTGAAAGCAGTGGACAAGGCAAAGTGTTCTCTATAAATGCTCCTACTCTCAGCACCCAGAACTTTCTTTTGCCTAGGAAGAAATTTCCCTGCATAACAGCCTCAGGATGCCCTTAGCTGTGCTTTCACCTACCCAGTGGTAGTCTGGGGCTCTCTGCCATCTCTCTGCCCATTGCTTTGACCCTTTAGATTATACTGGCCTCCTACCAGCTGACTATTCATTAAAAATTAACACATGTGTTTGGGAGAGTCTATGATTAAATCATCTAATTGTCTGCAAATTACTTGGGCCTGTAGCATGAGTGTGGCTGGTTTGGGGAGATGCAGCCTCTTCTTGCGCCACTGCTTTGCCAAATTCCTTCCTCTCTGTGACAGCATGTGAGATGGAGTCATTCCTCCCATTCCCGTTTGAGAGGTGGCAGTGGCTGGATGGTGCCTGCCTGCCTCACGTGACTCTTCCAGGTGTCTTTATGATATGAATAGGAATGGGGTAATGCCTGTCTGGAGAACTCAAGAGTAACCCATTGAGGTTCTTGGCCATCACAGTTCTAAGCATTTCTGAAATTCACATTTATTCAGCAATCATCTCAGAAACTCAAGGACAGCACTCCTGGCTTCAGAGACGCAGCATGGGCACAGCTGGAACTGGGCTCATTTAAGGTTCCTGCAGCACTGGCATGAAGAAATGCACTGTGATATCCAGTGATGACACCTGGGCTGAGCAAGACTCCCTATTTCACTCCCAGATCTCAGGTAGGTTTCACTGGGGAGGCTGCTGGGGGGAGGTTATTTTAGCTGGTTTCTTAAGGAGTAGAATTAAAGATGGAATCTTCAACTAGCTTATTATTTTTATGAGGCTGTGTTCGTGGTGTGCAGCCTGGTAACTAGTCAGTGCACAGATCTACAGTGACCATTGTCACTCTGGACAGAATGGGTAAAATATTAACAGGCATCGCAAAATATCTCCCAGACAGTCAAACCAGCCTGCATGCCAGCAGGCACTGCTTGGTTCTGCACTCTCCTCTCTTTCATGGTGCAGTAACCTACTGGGACCAGGACATTTGCTCCTGGACAGCTCAGCAAATCTTCCTAAGGCCTGCCAAGCTCAGCTCCCTAACCCCCCCAAATGTGGTAATCATGATATTTGTGATTCTAGGACAAGGGAGTAAGGGAGAGAGGTGTGTGTGGGAGTGGAGGTGTCTCCAACCAGCAAACTCCATTCATCAGTCCCTGGATGTGCCACTGAGACACAGGTGGTTCTAATCTGCCAGCAGGGGATCTGGAAAAGATTTGAGAGGATCCTGCCTGAATGTTTATCCTGATGCTATGGTAGAAAGGACTAATGCAGCCCTTTAAGACAGAAAATAGGAAAAGCAGATTAAATCCCTGTGTCAAAGCATTAGGGATGCTCACTGTGGGATTCTATATCTTGAAAAGGATTCAAGAAAATCAGAGAGGCTCTATAGAGTAGAAAGGCAAAAAATGGCTTGAGGGTGGGAGGAAAAGCCTGGCAGAAAGAGAATTAAGCAACTCAGTATATTTAGCTTTTCAGAAAGACGGATGAGAAGGGGTTTGCTTGCAGCATATGTATAATGTCACAAAGAGAATATGCCAGGCTCTGAAAGGATCTTTAATCAAGCAGAAGGCAGAATAAAATTGTATGTCTGCAAGCTGAAGCCAGACACAGGGAGGTGGGATGCTCTTCTGAACGTGAGGGTGAGGGACTCCTGAAACAGACCCAGAAAAGTGGGAGTCTTCAATTCAAGCCTACCTCCTGTCTTGGAAACTATGAGTGAACCAAACATAGAGTATTGGAATTGCTGCAAGGAGATGAACTGCTGAGCAGGGTGCTGGCCAGGGGCTTGCACTTGCACAGCCACCTGCCAGGCAGGCCCATTGGGTCACTTCATGTGAGGAAGATCCTTGGAAAACTGGTCCAGTCAGGCAGAGCACGTGGGGAGGCAATCAGGCAGGCTCCAGGTGCTTACTTGCTCCCAAAGTGGTAAGTGTGATTCTTTGCTGTTGAAAACATCTGGAGGGTGGCAGAATTTTTGAGCCAAGTTCAGATTGTTTTAACCTGTTTTGTGTGGGCTTGGTGCTGATGCTGTTTAATATTTCTGTTCTTAGAGTAGCCAGAGCACCACATATGTAAAGTGTTCTCCACAGTCTGATCACGTTCACAGTCTGCATTTAAGAATAATACTTAATGACTGTGGGAAATGAAACAAGTTTGGTCTGAGAGATAAGACAAACTACAAGTGTCTTACAGCCCAGATTGCATTCCTTGAGCCTGTGCATCAGCAGAGGCAATCTCTGTCTAGCCCTTACTGAAAGAAATCTTTGCTGTGGTATATAGTGGTATGTAATTAATCATAAAGTATTGCATTAATTAGTATTTGGTCTGATTTGATGAAGTTTCATTTGGGGAGAAGGATTACAGTGTATTAGAACAGTAATTTTTATAGGGTAAAGAAACAAAATGAGATTAGAAGTCTCTATGAAGGAAGCCTGGAGACCGATGTGTGTATTTGACATCTGATGCAGATAGTTACAGCCTAAGTTAATTTTCTAGTGGGAAAAGATGCTGCTCAGCATTTCCTCATGCACATGAGGGGAATTTGCAGAGAATTACAGCATCTCCTTTCAGAAGAAGGGCTGAAGGAAGCTTTGCTTATGGTCATGCTGGTGTGTCCAAGTCATGCTTAGTCCAACATGAGTGTCTTTGCAGCATTGATGCAGGGACACAACGGTAGGACCCCTCACTGCCTGCTCCAAGCAGTGACCAGCCCTAACTGCTTTATGCTACTTGCTAATGCAGCTACCACCTGTGCCCTCTGCCAGAGCCTTTTTTCTCCAGATCATGGCCAGTGCTGCTGTAGGAAATTCTCTGCAGACACATGAGTAGCTACAAACTCAGCTGGTTTGCTGCAGGTGGGTTTTGTGGAGCAGAATGGGCTAGATCACTTGCCTGATCATTTGGTCAGTTTGGCTTTAAAAAGCTCCAGAGCATTCTGGAAAGCAGCACAGCAATATGATAGGATTTAATCAGACTTAATTATTCCCCTGCTGTCTATCTCCTAGCAACATCCAGCTTGACATCTGCCTGCGAATGAAATGTGTAAGCTAAGTAGGAACATGTTCAGACTAAAGTCCTGCTACTTGAACCAAATCACGCCGCTAATCATTGCCTTAATTCATCTCATGGCCATCAAACAGCTGCCAGGCACTAGTACCTGATTTTCCAAGATGCACAGCACTTGCCTTCTGAGTTTTTTCCAGGCTGGGAAGAAGGGTGACTTCATCCTGGGCTCTTAGCAGCACACTGACACCTGATAACTGGGTTAGAGTTTCCTGAGTGACAAACACAGGCTCAGGAGCAAGCCCCAGACTTGTAGCTATTTGGCTTCGTGCTGTAGGTCCCTGCTTATCTCATCGCTGAAATCAGATCACCTGCTGTGCCCACACACCGCGGGGTTCAAATGCGGTACGGGGGCGGTTTAGGTGAAGCTTGGGGACAGCTGGAGCAGATGTGGTGCAGTGACAGCAGGCAGTGCAGCAGCTCTGTGTCACAGGGACAAGGGCGGTTGAGGCAGGAAGATGAGACCCATCTTACGCAGATTGAGGGATGAAGAGGGGAAGAGAGGAGCAGGCACAAAGCAAGCATTTGTGAAGTAAAACTGGGCTCCAGCCAGACATGATGTGGCACAGGAGTTGGTGGAGTTGCTGGAAGAAATGAGCCCAGCAGCAGAGCTGGGGCCATAGGAGAAAGCTGCCTGCACCAGCCCTGGCTGCCAGCTCGCCGTGAAGCTGGAGGGAAGGGAGCTGCCTTCAGAGCAACGAGCTTCTTGAGCAGGTCAGCCCTTCCAACTGGGAGTTGGTGGAGCAGTAGCTTGGGGGCAGATCTACAGATAGACAGGGCTGCATGAATGTGGTTGTGTCCCCTCTCCACATACCTCTTCAAGGGGATATTGGTGGCAGTGATACCAAAGTGCTTGTATGAGTCTGTTGGTCTCCTGTGCCGTATGTTGTTGGCATTCAAAAAACCTAAGGTCTATCAGTGTGACATGTGTCTCCCTTATGTCTCTGCAGAGGAGTGTGGTAGCTCTGGAAGCCTGGCCACACTAGCAACCAACTTGCACTGACTTTATTTGTGCAGAGCACAAAGTGGGGTTTCTGGCTGTGAAAAGGGGGCTGTATGAGCCCCCACCAGCTCTCCCTGTGACCAGCAGGAACTTGGCCTTTTGTCAACAGTGCTCAGCCAGCTCTGTGCTGTTGAAGGCAGTGTCTGCCATTCAACAATGGCACTTGGGCTCACCTCGGTGGGAGCTGCCACCATGCTGGACATGATCTTACCGAGATTCCCTTAAAATGACCTTTTGTTTTCCTTCTGTTATCAATGACAAATGGAGGGTCACTGGGTTGGTCACTAAGGATGCAGGTTTATTCCTCACCGTTTCTTTCCTTTCAAATGACTTTCCCTTTCACGACTAATCATTTCCCTTTGTCATTCTATCCCTGAAAGGCGTTATATTAGAGTTTGTCACTTGTCCTCTGCCTAAGGAGCATTAGAAGGCTGTGGGGCCAGCAAGAACGAGGGCAATACTGTGGGAAGACTGCGTTGCAGGATGGTCCCAGTGCTGCTGTGCTCACAGGGCAGATGTACAGTGAGAAAGTGGAGACTGCAACATACCGGGAAGCGCATGGAAGCCTCACTGTCTGAGCTGTGCTGCGCAGTGGAAGGGCAGCTGGGGAGGTCCATGCCGCCCGGCCTGGTGTGGTCCAGTGGAGACTGTGCCACACCAGGGAGGTGGCGCAGAGCCATGCAGAGGCTGTGTAGGACCTTGCTGGGTGTGCAGTGCTGGAAGGGCTTGCAGAAGCTAGACGATAGTGTGAAGGCAGTGGCTGGACGGTGCATTAGGGACAGGTGCTGCGTGAGGCAGTGATGGAAGCAAACCCAGGGCTGCGTTGCTGTGTCTGGCTGCAGCCGGGCTGTGCAGAGCGAGGCAGGGCTGAGAAGCCATGGGAGCTGTGCTCGGCGGTCGGGCAGTGCAGCACCTGAAGGGAGGTGCAGCGCACTCGGTGCAGCGCCTGGAGGGCGGCCGCTGCCGTGTCGCTGCAGGGCAGCGGCGGCCGGGCAGGAGCTGAGGCGCCGCAGCTGGCGGGAGGTGTAGCGCTGTGGGGTGACAATGCGGAGCCTCGCAGCAGGTACAGTGCTGGCAGGGGCCACGCGGGGCCATGCCCAGAGGCACCGCAGCGCTCTGGAGGTGGCACGGCGTGCCTGGGGAGCGGCGCCGGGACTGGAGGAGGAGCGCTGCCCGGCAGCGGCCGTGAGGGGGGAGCGGTGCCGCGCCGCTCCCCGCGGCGCCCCCGCCGCGCGCCGATCCTGGGGGGCGCTCTGCGCACGCGCACCGCCGCCCTGCCGCAGCGCTCCTCCGGCGGGGACCCTCTGCCCGCGCGCCATTGGCGGCGGGCGCCTCCCGCGATTGGCCGAGGCGCGAGCCCCCGCGGCGTCCCATTGGCCGGCGGCGGCCGCTATGCGGGCGGGCCCCGCCCCGCCCAGGCGCGCCATTGGCGGCCGCGGCGCCCCCCGGCGGCGGCGGGTCCCGCTGGGCGCGCCCGGCATGGCGGCGCCCGCAGCCCCGCGCCCGGGGGGCGCAGCCGGCGGCCGAGCGCCCGGGGCCGGCGGCGGCCGGGTGAGGAGGGCCGGGGGACGGGGGCGGGCAGGGCCGCTCACAGCGTCTGGAGCGCCGAGCGGGGTCCGGCGGGGCGCGGCGAGGCGTAGCCCGTAGCGGAGCGCGGCGAGGAGGGGGCAGCCCGGCGGTGGCGACGCCGCTGCCCGTTCAGAGCCGGGCTCCAGCCGGCCGCTGGCAGCTGTCAGCTGACGGACAGCTGCCGTCCTGCCCGGGCCCGGCGAGCCCTTCTCCCCGGGCGCCGGCACCGCCTCTCGGGCAGCGCGTCCCCGCAGCGCGGCATGCCCGGGGCTCCGCGGGGCTCCAGCCGGGACCGGCGCTGCGCCGCCGCTCCCGCGGGCCCGGCCGCAGGGCACCGCGGCGCCTGGGCTCGCTCCGGGCGTGCCGGCGGGACGCGGTGCTCGCCAGGCCTCGGCGGGCAGGGCCGCGCTGGGCTCGCTGTGTGGAGTGGGCAGGAGCGGGGCTGATGCTCTGTCACAGCGTGGCGCTGACCGTGAGACGGCCAGAACGGACGGCTGACTGGGGTGGTTCTTGTTTCGCTGACATGCTTTGGGGAGCGCGTGTGTTTTGTCTTGTGGAGGAGCACGGTTTGGGATCTCTGCGTTATGGTGGGGATAGGATTGCGTGTTTTGGAGAGGATGCCCGTTGGAGAAGGTGGCTCCAGCCTCAACCTGTTTTTCTTTCTCAGGTCATGTAGAAGAGCAGATTTAATGTGAAGATGGGACTCTTGGTGTTTATGCGTAACCTGCTGCTAGCCCTCTGCCTTTTTCTGGTACTGGGATTTCTGTACTATTCTGCTTGGAAGTTGCACCTTCTCAGATGGGAGGATTCAAGTAAGTAGAGGAACGGTGCAACTGTTTCTGGGCAGCCTAAAACGTCTGTTAAATAGTTGCAAGTGGTGAGATGGTGCTGATTTAGTAGTATTACAGGGATGTGACTAAGCCCACTCAAATGCTAGAGCTTTTAGTATGCTTAAGGGGTCGAATTTGTGACTACCTAATGCTCTTTATGGCTTTACTTTTATTACTGGGTACAAAAGCAGGTTCATGCTTTATAAATCTAATACTAGAGACCTTGGATCTTGGAATATCCTGTTAGTTTATGATTCCTAATTGTCAAAATAAAGAGCTTGTATGTTGAGATTTTTATTTCCCGAATCCTCTGTGCATTTTAAGATATCTAAGACAAGTTTGGTTTTTTCCCTCTGGTGAATTTTGATTTCTTTCTGAAATCATATATGCTGGTTATCTCATCCTCTTACTTTGTCCTTCAGAAATTCTCATCTTCCATTTATCTTCCATGTTATTATCTGCCAACTATCTGTCATCTAAAGGATGTCTTTCAACCTTTTTAAGCCCAAAGAGACATCTGACCTCATTGAATACAATCTGAGGATTGTACTGTGCAGTAAGGCCATAGAAGGTTACAGTTGCAATGAAATTAGGCTAAAGCTTGATTGCTCAGTTGCTGCTCTTATTTTTGTTTGTGTTGATTTTGCCTGCATGCAAGATCTATTTATTGAAAATATAAAAACAAAAAACCAATTCCCTCCTCTCCCCTCCTGCCCAAAACACAAGCCAGCCTTCCATGCAGCTGTTCCACAGGCTGTTTCAGATGTCTCAGAGCTGACTGTTGCTCCCTGGATCAGCAGCTGAAAAACACTGATCCAGAACTGACAAGAAGCCACTGGTCACATTTCTTCTTTGCTGTATTGTGTTTTTGTGCATGCTGATAGAGGTTTCTGCTGCAATGCTTCTTAAACTTGGCATTTTTTTCTACTGCCGTGTGCTCCAAATCTGTTGTTATGTGCTCTTAAGAAGTTTTGTATGATGACAGATGATGACTTGGACATGACACATGTGCTGATGCACTGATTTTGAGAGGGGAACTACTGAGGTGCCTTGGACTAGAACAAGTATTGTAAAACTAAATTTGTAAAAGGAGATGCATAGTGTTTTTCTGAGCAGGGATTTTTTCTTCAGGCTTGTGCTTCAGAGAGGGAGTTAAAAATCTTGATTATGTGTTTCTGCAAAGTAGCAGTTTTGTTGACAAAGTGTAGAAAATACTTCCTGCATGAAAATAAGTACAGCTGTGTTAAAAAGAACAGTTTTTCCATATCTGCTATTACATGATCTGTTATGAAATGATACCACCTACCATCCTTTACTTCCTTCATGCCACCAGGAAATCATGTTGGACTTCCCAAGACCTGCAAAAAAAAAAAAAAACCAAAATCTTTCATGCCACAACTTGTGTGTGATCTTTGTTACAAATGAAGAAGCAGCTATGTGTTTATGTGTTATGCACCAGCGTGCTGGGGAGGGTTCTAATTTTCTGCAATCCTCTTTGGATTTTGTGCCTTTAGCTTTGTGTGCTGTTTGTTATTCTACATTATGTCAGTTTGTGGGAAGTTTTGTAGTAACTTTGAGTTGCAGTGCAGTGTTGTAAATCTGTGTGCAGATGCTGTGGATTTCTATAAATGGAACACTTTTACCTAGAAAGATGACTCTAAGTTTCAGCCTAGTTAGAGTGATTCTATTGAGTGCATTGGCTGCTTTTGGGTACCCAGGATGTTCTGACAGGGAGCACTGTGAGGTAACATAAGAGACCTTTGGTTTGATGTCTCCCTTTTTCTGATCTTTTGTGTAAAATATGCCATTCATATATTCTTGGAAGTTGCAGTCCTTGCATTAAGCTTGTTCAACATATACAAAGTGATGATGCTAACTTGAGGATTTAGCTTACTGTTCTTTATCAGTTGCCACAATTGACGTAAGCTGTACTGTTATTCCTTCTAGACGCTTTTGTGGATTGTCTTTTAAATTTTGGATGAAGTTCCTTGAAATATTAGTATAAGCAACAGTCTAATGTAAAGGGGCAGATGTTACTTTTGAAACAGTAAAGATGATGGTACCTGTTTTCAGTTGGTCTTCAGACTTTTTTATGCATCAAACCCCATTTATTTATCATGTAATTTAACACAGGAGGAACTTATGCAAATATAAAGTAGAAATTTAAAACCCCATTTTGCGAAACGTCGTATGAAGTTAATGTTAAATAAATAATGTTCTATAAATCAGCATTTGGAAGTTAACAAATGACAGATTTAATTACTTATTTAACTATGATAGGCCTTCTTGAGACTGTGTAATATGATACAATGTATAATGGGACAATTATACTTTGTATTTGCTGAGGGGGAACCTTGCTTACTTAAGTGCCCCAGATAGGTGGTGCGTAACTATTGCGGTTTTGTTTCCTGAATTACTGTGCAGTGTGTGACCTTGTAAATTTCCTTAAGATTGATATGATAATGCTGATGTCCCCAAAGGCAAAACTCAGTCAGATGTGTTAATTTTGGGGTTCTTAGTAATCAAGGATTATTGATTTTGTGCGAGTTATCTTTTTGTTAAATTATTTTCTTTTTTCTTGTGAGCGGTGCCTTTCATCTTTTAATAGTGACTCCCTAGCTTCAGCAGTGACATTTGTCTTTGTTCTGTTCTTTGTGCTCGAGGAGGTATGAAACTAAGCTGATCCCAGCACCTGACACCCTTGCAATCTCTTCAGAGACTGGCTTTAGTAAACTTGACACCTATGTTTAATAATGGAAATAAACAAATTTGTTGCAGAGCATGGTGGAAAACACTTGATCTGCTTATTTGCTGCTTGTGTGGTTTGTTTAGTTAATGTTTTAGAAGATGCCTGTGCTTATCATTGTCATGGAATAATTTGAATGGTAACTGTAAAGTGGTTTACTGTGTAAACTAGTCTTCTAAACTTGACACTTGGATGTTTGTGTATTTAGCTGCTAAAGTAAATGAATAGCTAAATTATTTTGTTTGTATGTACTCCTGACCTTTACAAGAAAGGAGGATAAACTTCAAAATAGACTGAAAGATACATATCAATGTTTCTCTTAATGTTCTCTTAACATTAAATGTTCTCCACTTAATGTTAAATCTGTCCTCTTTGAGTGATGCCTCAGTGAGTACTGCAAGCTTATTCTCCTTCTTGTGTGACTCTGCACCTTGCCAAAATACAAAGGAGAATAGGAAATAATTAAAAGGTATTTTTAAATAATTAAAAGCCTTTTTAAAAGGCTTATCTTTACTGTGACAAGAATAGATTGAATTTGGCTAATGTGAACTAATTAACATTGAATTAAGTTCAGCTCCTTCTATTCAAGATAAACCTCCAGTGATTGCTACCCCTCTTTCATCCTTTTAGTGAGTATCATGACTGGCTACTCTTCTCCAAGCCTTGTTTCTTGCTGGTGTCAGAATGTTACTTCTCACAGCAGCAGCAAAGTGCAAAAATAAGGGGTGTAATGGGGGATGCAGGAGGCCTCTTGAGTTCTGGTGATGGTTGGTAGTACATGAGCAGGGTTTAGGACAGGTTTCCTTTTTCTCTTTCCTGATGTTTGTAATGCAGCTTCAGTCTCTGACAGTAGTGGTAAGAGATGTGTGCTGTCCTTGCACGTTCTTCCCAGACAGGCAGTAACAATGGATTCCACAGCTCTCTGATGAAGTGTTGAGTGGCACGGAGGTGTGCTGAGCACATAGAACTGATAATGTGACATGGGAGACAAACAAGGAAATAAATAGTTTGTAACTGGATTTAGCTGTCCTGAACATTTTAGAAGGAACTTAGAGGAGCAAATAATTGTACTGCTGTTCTTTGTGTTTCTGGCCACTTGGTTGTTGAGGAATTCTTGCATAGCAATGGTAGTGATAGGAGCAGGCTTTGAAGGTCTGAGACACACATGCAGCCTCTTTCCTAGTAACTTCCCATGCTATTCCTTCCCTGATGCATTTGGCTCTGAGGAGGAAGGAAGGTGTTGTCTGCACCAGTGTGAAGATACAGCCCGTAGGAGGGTGCACTGTTTTCTTTGAAAAGTATGGTGGGAGATGGAGTTACTTAACCTGATATGTGTATAGCTGATTTTGCAACTTCAAATGAATGTGTTGTAAGGCAGGAATGATTCCATTACAAAGCATCCTGGCAATAGAAATATTGGACTCATTCCCCCAAGTGAGCTTTTACTTTTTCCCTCTCTCTAAAAGTATTGAAGTATACTTGGGACAAGGACAGTGTGATGCTATTTTCTTGTTCTCTATTGTATTTCTTTCTACATTAGCATTGAACTAATTTAAAGAAATATCTGCTTGAAGTACTTTTGCCAAAACCTATGTTAATACAATTTGAGCTTGTCAGTTTGAATGTGGTTTTTGAAACATCTTCAGGTATGTTCTCTTGATGTCATTGAAAAAATCAAGTCACTGTCATCCGTTGCTCTGTGTTATTTTCAACTCTAATTCTGGCAAGGCAGCCAAAGAGATAAAGCTTTGGGAAGGGATTTTTCCAAAGGTATTTCAGGACCCCTATCCTTTTTACTCCCTTTTTTTTTAATGTCTGTTTCCAAGGGAACTGAGGAGACATAAACAGGCAAAACTGACTCACTTCTGGTTGCAGGTTTTTAATCTGCTTGCATTTCCATGGCAACTGGTCATGCAGCAAAAAAAGCTGAATTAATCAAAAGCAATCAAACCTTTATTATCAATATAAATACTGGCTTATCTCTTTCAAAAGTGAAATGGTACTTTTGTTAATTCTTGTATTAGGATCTAACAATGTACTGAAGAAGTAGATCTTCTTGCAAGGGTTGGGAAAACATTTACTCTTTCTCAGGTGGCTCATGGATGTGTGGTGGTATCCGGGGTGGATGGGTACAGCTGGTGTGTCTTGGGCTACTGGGAGTGTCATTTGTTCTGCGTCAAGGGAGTGGATCTTACGTACACTGACATCTGACTTCCTTCTGTCCTTTGTTTAGTGA